GTGTTAAACTGCAGCTGAATGTTGTCCTCCTGGCTGTGCCAGCATGCCAGGCTGGTGGGATTGAATATCTACCATGCTGAGATGATCCTGGAGATTTACAGGAGCAGGGATGTGTGTTTGGCCTCCAGTGGAGGTTTGTCAAGGCAGAGGATGTATTAGCTGTAAAAGCAAACTTCCCTGGGAACGTTTCTCTCTTGTGTTTGCTGTACCTGCCTGCAGAAAGGGCAGTTTGTTTAGCTGTGCTCATGTGCCAAATGCTGAGGTTTGAGGACAGAGTTGGCAGCTCAGGGGGAGCAAGTCAGGCTGCAGTTGTGGAACTGTTCTCCAGAGCTCAGTGTTCCCCAGGGGCTTTGTGTCCTGTCCTGTCTGTAAATGTGTTCATTCATTTCCTGGTGAGAGGGAACAGCTGGGGTAGCTGCCACAGGGCAGGTTGGATGGGATGAAGGAATTTAATTTCTCCCTGTGAGGTGCTGAGGCACTGACACAAGTTGCCCAGAGAAGCTGTGGCTGCTCCATCCCTGGGAGTGTTCCAGGCCAGGTTGGATAGGGCTTGGAGGAACCTAGTGGAAGGTGTCCCTGCCCATGGGAGGGGGTGGAATGAGATGAACTTTAACGTCCCTTCTAACCTTAAGCATGATCCATACAACCTTGAGCAACCTGCTCTGGTGGGAGGTGTCCCTGCCCAGGGCAGGGGTTGGGACAAGATGATCTCTAAGGTCCATTCCAACCCCTTGATATATTATGAAGTGACTGCAAAGTAACATTATGTGATTCTATATTCCATAGGAATCATAGATAGGATAGAATATATCCTGATATATCCTACAGATAGGATATAACCTGCTCCTGCAAACCTTTCTTCCTGTCTTGACTTTGTTGTCCCTTGCTGGTGAAGGTGTGTTGGTTGGAGCACACCAGATATGCTCCATCCATATCTCCAGGTATGTTCTTTATCCTGGATCCCTGCAGAGACTCATGATGGCTGCATGACCTGATTCTCAGGTAGTTTCCAATCTTGGCAAATCAGCTCTGCTTCCCTCAGTAGCAGCCTCACACAGGGTATGGGCTGTGGTGAGCTCAGGGCTGTGGTGCCCTTAGGAAATCAGGGAAGAGTTGTGTGAGTGCTCAGGAGAAGCATATCCCTCTGTCCCTGTGCTCGTGCTGTGATCAGCCATCCTGCAAGCAAAGGAGCACAGGGGAAAGCACTTGAGCTAATGGTGTTTAGATACTCCACGTGAAAGTGTTTGCTGTACTCTGATCCTTGATGCAATATGTGCAGCTGCACAGGGATCAGAGAGGATGTTCCTAGATCTGCTGAGCTGAGACCCCAGTTTGGTGTTTATTTTGCAGCAGAGAGATCTGGGCAGAAGATTTCCTGTGAACATAAACTTTCCCAAGGGCCTGGATTCAGACAGGGTTTTCCTTTAGTTGGAGGAACAGGCACATAGTCTCCCTCACATGTACTGCTCCATGTCTGGGAGGCATTTGAGGATGTTTGTAGGCTTTGATGGGATTATTTTATCCCTTGCTGTGGGGTGTGAGCAGAGGATGGAGGCTCCTGCTTCCACATCCTGCAGGCAGTGCTGACCCTCAGCTCTCCTGGGCATCCACACCACAGAGCTGTTTGATCTCCTCTGAGGATTCCAAAGAGATCAATGACTTCCTTCCTTTGGCTTTTCATTTCTGGCCATTTTGTCAGCAGAACCCACAAATTCAGGTGGGTGTTTTCCTGGTAATCAGCACCAAAGGGAGTGATTCCATTCTGTGTCACTTGGTCAAGTGGTTAGACAATCAAATCGATGAAGAAGCGTGTGATGCTCTCAGTGCCTCTCCAGTCTCCCTCTCCTAATGTATAGCTCCTTTTACCTCTTAAAACAAACTGACCAACCCTTTGGCTCTACTCAGCAGCTCTTCTTTCCACCCTCTACTAGATGAGTAAAAGAAACAATAATAAAGACTCAGTTACTTACTCTGGGACATATTCTGAAGGTGCAAGACATTCCCTCCCACCATCCTAAATTTATTCCTTTCAAATCTTAAATTTCCCACAAGGAACTTGTTTGGGTCTGCACAGAGATGTTTAAAGCCCCATCAAATGTGTTTTTGTAGGCTCAGGGTTTGATTTGGATTTGCAGTCAGAGCTGACACCTCAAAGAGTGAGATTTTGGCACCATCACACTCAGAATTATGCCAGTAATAATTTAGAGGGAAGATGCTTAATAGACACCCACAAATCCAGTGTGGTATTGGTTGGAAATAAAAGTGTAAAGTGCCTTATACTTTATATATATTCAGACTCCATGAACCTGCCTTAAAATCCATTATGGTCTACTGGAAATCTGATGGAACTTGTAAATATGGTTATAAAGCAAATTAGCTAGAAAAATGCCCTTTTTTGGGTAGGTGGTAGTGCCTGGTCCTACCAGTTTATGTTTAGACACCAACATGGATTGTTCTGGTTTGCCTTGCAGTGCAGCTGTGAGATTGCTCTGTATGGGCCTGGAGTGTGACCCTTACTGCAAGGATGACATGGCGAAACACTCAGGCTTTAAAAGAATTGATTTTGGACCAAGTTCCAATTTACTAGCTTGAAGTAGTTGAAAAATCCAAACAACTTGTGTTATTTTTCCAGCCTGAGCCCAGGAATTCACTTTGCAGTGCTGCTGAATTATTTAGGAATTCTTTATCTGCTAAGTCCTGCAATAATTGTAGGTGTAGCAGTGGTGGAATGGGCAGGGAATCCACTGGGAGCTGGAGCCTGGGGGCAGAAAGGATTTGCATGGGAGGAAGGGAATGTCATCTCAGGACAGAAACTCAGGGTTGGTGAGGCTGAGTGAAGGTGTGAGGCTCAAGAAGCATCAGAGCTTGGCTCAGAGTCCCCTGGCTCAAGGTTTGATTGAGTGTTGTCCTTTGCTTTCAAATGGAAGAAAAGCTGGATTGAGTTGGGAAACTCTTTGTGGAGAAGTGAGCTCTTAGTCTAGTGCACTTTGAATTATGGATGTGTTTTAGCAGGAACACTGAGCTCTGATGGGCACTTGGAATCCACCCCAGAGCAGCTGTGTTGGGCTTTCCTCCCCCTGCTCCCTGCATTCCTTTGGACTCGTTTAAGCCTCTCTCTGCCCCTCAATTTCTAGCTACCTTTGACTAAATGGAGTTCAGAGTAAGCAG